ACTTTCAGGGACCCGTCAGATGGACTCTGGAGAAGGTAACGTACATGGATATATATATATATATATATATGGATGTTATAAATCTGTACTATATGTGTGCGCATGTATGTGTATTTTTCTGCATATAAATAATTTCTTCGCTGCGTTGCAGGTATGATCCAGCAGTGTACGCGACGATTTGGGGCTTTTGGAGGCAACCGAGCAAGATATGGCTGTTGCTGCATGAGTTTCTAAACGAGAATGAGCCTGTTCCTAATAGAGCGCACTTGGCTTTAGCTCGTCTGGAGGCCCTGGGCATCGTGCGAGCGGTGATAACTCAAAATGTTGATAATCTGCATCAAGATGCAGGGAGCAGACGCGTTATAGAATACCACGGCAATCTCATGAGTGTGGGTGTACGGACACCTGAACGCCGATTTTCTTACACCGGGTGTATACTGTGCTCTTGGCTCACTGCTTGCTTACTTAGGGTGTAGGGTTTAGGGTTTACGGGTAGCATGTGGGGTTGGTTTCCGCTGCTCGTGGAAAAGCACTTAGAGCAGCTTGAGCCAGAACAACTATTCGTAGCGCATTTTACATTTCGATGGAGAGTTGTGTTTCTGCTTATTTGCGGCTGTCTCCACGCTGATATCCAGTTACTCCCCCTCTTTTTGCACTGCCTGCTCAGGCCTCGTGTTACCGGTGCGGAGCGAAGATGCAGCTGACGAAGCAAATGGTCCGGAACCCTTCATTTAAGAAGAAGTTGCCCCCGAAGGTGCTTTCCTATGCATGCATTCAGAAGGTCTTTTCCTCTCTTCTGCAGCAGAGGATTTGGTGGCGGTAGTTCAGTCTCTTTCTTCAATACGAGATAGATGAAACGTAGTGCGAAGTAGACGAGCATGCAACCGTACAATTCATGTTTACTGAGGAGTTACTTCTTTTCGTTTTTTTGTTTTCTTTTTGCAGTGCGGATGCGGCGGGTACTTCAAGCCTGATGCGGTGTTGTTTGGAGAGGGGATTCCGTCTCAAGCTGTGAGCGAGGCAAATAAAGAAGCAGATGCATGCGACTTGCTGCTAGTTGTTGGGACTTCTGCTACTGTACATCCAGCATCGGATATACCATACAGAGTCATGAGGAAAGGCGCAAAGGTCATTGAGGTCCGCTCAGCACGTGAAACGGAAACTTTTATTTAGTCGGCCGTCTTCCACAACTATTGCATTAATTGCCCGAATAAAAACCATCACTTTAATTGCCCTTATAAAAGCCATTCATTCAATTACACTCATCAAGAAACATTCTTCCACGTTGTAGTTTAAGAAGATGTTAATTTTGTTGCGCATGTTGTTGGTCGCCAGTTACGCATTTCTTTCTAATCTTTCTTGTCCTAGCGACCAGGGTCCAAGTCGAAGTTTTTTGTTAGGCTGCAAGTTGTGGTGTGCTCTTGGTGGGGAAAGATATATGCATGCATATATGCTTGCATGCATGCTTGCATGCATGTAACAACTGCACAACATGCATGTAGAGTTTATGCTGAACCCAGGAGTCGGTGCTTGAAGTAGTTTGATACGTTTTTTACCTCAGGTCAATTTAGAGGAGACCGGTTTGACGAATCGTATATCGGACATGATATATATTGGCAGGTGAGTGCGTAGTCTTTCAAGGATATCTATTTTATTTGAATTTTATATTTACATATATATTTTTTATTCTCACGTGGGCGTCTCCACATGAGAACGCGGGGCATATTTTCGTGTGCGTGTTTCTTGCGTGTACTTTCTGCGCACGCACCTTTCAGCAAAGAGTGCTTGCATGGACGCATGCATGCTTGCATGCATGCATGCATTGGTAGATTAGATTGAACTACTGCTTCTGTCTGTAACTGCTGCAACGCGCTGCTGCCGATGCTGCAGGGCGAGCGATCTCATGCAGACGCTGCACCTGCTGGAGCCTTATCCACCGGAGTCAGCAAGCGAAGGAGACTCTGCTGCTGCTGCTGCTGAGGTCCTCACCGAACCGAACACACGAACAGAAGCACAAGAACCCCCGGCAAGGGGGAGCAGCGACTGAAGGATCCCGAGTCGAAGTATGTTCATCTGCATTATTACAAGTACCATGAATACTGTGTAGTATTCAGTGGATTATAAATAATAACATTGAACTTTTCTGGTGCCGTAGGCATTCAGAACGGCGACTTGGGGAGGAGCAACGACCACCAGAAAGCCACCTATTGTAACACAAACTTTAGTGTGTCAGTTTTTTAATATACAAAATATGTATGCATGCATGCCTGTATATATATATATTATATATTACATATATATATACATATATGTACGCTATATATATATATATATATATATATATATATATATAGCGTTGTGACGAAGTATAGGGCCTAAGCCGCAATTGCGGTAGGAGTATGCCTGCGTATTGGGTGCGTCAGCACATGAAGAGGCGAAGCTGGCTCTATCAAACGTCGCAGTGAGGAATCTTCATTAATTCAGTTGCACAGAGAAGACACGGTACAGATGCGTTAACGGCTTCGTGCATACAGCCTACGAAGTGCAGGCTGTTCGCATGCAGCGGGGAGATCAGCGGCCTTGGCTTACCAGGCGCTGCCTTTCTGTGTATGTAAAGATACGTGCGTATGTGCGCATGCGTATATATGTTGTATGGGCACCGGCTTGCCTGAGGAATTGATTGGTGACTGGAGTGTTGGCCTTCCGGCCTATTGCAGTAGAATGTTTGTGCCCTCATCTTTGGGAACAGACGAGAATGTTGCTTTATGGCGGTGTTTCCGTCCTAAAAAGATCTGTTTGCTGCAACTACTGCATTGAACTACTGCAGTTATTGAACTTTTAAGCCTAAGGAAGAAACTCTTTGGCAGTAGGCGGATGAATGGAAGTAGCAACAGTCAGCAACCCCATACGACGGTATCCAGAAACGAAACGAAATGCCCCTACATCTACTAACATCGCTTTTTTGTTTACGCGATTTGATTTTGCTTGTTTCTCACCCAGAAAGCCAGGCGGAGCAAAAAGAACAGCGATAAGTTTTCGTTTTACTTGAAGCAGTCTCCACATATCCTGCAGCTCCCCAGCAAAAAACTTAAATATATTCATACGGGAAATGAGCCATCAGCGACTACCGCTGCGTTTACACCTCCCTGTAAAAGTACTTCGCTGTGAAGTAGAAATAGGAGCAATGAATCCATCTTCACCTGGATGGTGGTTTGCATCAAACGCTCGCACCTCCGATGGTCAAATAAGACTCCAATATGTCGCCCTAACACAAAAATGGACACACCAGCGCACCCTTCCGCCTCGTGACCGCACGGCCAGCAACGCTCGCGATAGAAACCTTGAGTAACTGCAGTATGCACAGCAACTAGGAGGCTGCAAGGCTCGCAAACTAAGATTAAACAAGAAACGCACACCCACACCCACCACGCGGAGCTGAAAACGGGAGGATCGGTCATGCAAAAGACCTTTGCGAGTCAAAGGGAATATGATGGGTGCATCCTGAGGCACCACTTGACACTGCAGGCCCCAAGCTCGCTGGGCTGCTGTTCCTGCCGAACCTGCAAACACAGATCACAGCAAGTGCTTGTAAGAATAAAGATGAAGCAACAAAGGAATGGAGCAGACCCTTCTTATCTGAATACCACCCACTAAACTAGTTCAACACAGTACAACGTCAGCGACACAGCTGTGGCGAAGTGCCCCCCACGCATCAGAAGATCTGATTACTCTTACCTTTTTGCACTGCTCGGTAGAGAGAGCGTCGGACGAGCACATCAATGCCTGAATACTCGGTGGATTCATGATGTAATTCAGGCTCCAAGCATTCTGCACGTACCAAAAGCACACCACGCAAAGTACGTTCCCGGAACCTTTGTAGATGACGGAAACGACTCACCTAACCACAAGCACCACTCAGAAGAAGCAGATAAACGCAAACTCGCAAGGCGAATGTCGTCTGCTATTATCGCTGAATTCTGCGGAAAATCGCTGCGACTTGCCAGCCCTTTTCAGCCTTTCTGTGGACATATGCCGGTATTGATCGCCATCAAACCATTCGAGGTACTGCATTTCCAAGCTGCATCCTTCATACAAGCCGTTAGCAGCTGCTTCGAGAGCTTTCGACCCTGAGAGGACCCTCGGCACTCTCCTTGCGAGATTTATGGGCATCCAGCGCACCGTGGACACATCAGCAGCGCCTATTCCGTTAGAGAGAACCACTGGCACTTCAACGAAATCCCCTACACAAACGGGACCCAAATGCGACAACACCGCCTGCCCGGTTTCATCGCCGTGGAACCTGCACAGGTCACGGTGCAGCCACAGCCGCCGTTTGCTACCCAAAGGCGCAACTGCAACAGAGAACATCGGCGCTTCCCGTCGACACTGGTCTGCAGGCTCCTTCCCAGTCTGAAAGCAAACAAAGAAAACAAGGTACATGAACAAACGAATCTGCAAAGAGCAAATCATTTCAGATCCAGCTGAAACGACCTCCCACGCCATCTACTCTACGAGAACATCTATCCTTCACGAGCACGAGGGAACACACCTTTGCTTACTTCCTAAATTAAAACGACTTACCCTACTTGGGGGCCTTACGATTGTCGTTGGACTCTGGCCTCCCCCTGAGATGCCACGCAAAGAAGACCTGCGTGAGAAGGAGTTCCTCTCGACCCAACGAGAGGAACTATCTGCTGTCTTTTCACGGCCAGCATAACGAGGAGGCAAATGCCAGTCGTTTAGAGAAGAAGGATGCCGGTATTTAAAACAATAACCCATAGACAGCACATGGTTGGCAGCGGGGGGCAACACCTGCAACGAATAACATACAAGTGAATCTGCTCAGTGAAATGTAAACATAAATGCAGAGGCCCACTGGGCTCCAGCTAATCATTCGCGCAACATCACGTTGCTTCCATCATGACGCAGCCGCTCTCCCTACCTCCCTGCAAACTGTTTAAAGTCTAGCGTTTAGGGTCTAAGGTTCTCAGCAGCAGCAGCTAAATGCATGCACTGCAACTGAGTCTTCATGAGTCAAGAGGTTCGTGATGTTACAACAGTTAAGACTGCTGTGAACGCACAGAAAAGTCCTCTACTGCGCCGCTTTTTAGTGTCTGGTTCACCGGCTTTTGCAGCAACAAACCCCAATGACAAAACCAACAGCAAGAACTGATGTGTCGTCGTTTTTCGAGTACACTGACTGACCTTGGCTGTGATAACCCAATCCAGTCGAAACCCCTCTCCTTGTGCAATGTGCAGTGCCTGAAGCTTCACCGTAGCGCTCACAGGCAAAAGGTACTTCCCATAAGATGCCTCGAAGCCTCTATCGATGGGGGCGCACATCTCAGCAAGGGCACTGCAAAACAACAAAAGCCAGAAGACAGCAACAAAAAAGCGCATTGTGTGGGTCCGTGCACAGATTTTATGTTATTTAGTCTAAACAGTGCAAAATAAATCATGCCCTGTCGCTGACAAAGCTCGCACAAAGCCGCCTCACTTGCTTATTTTCATGAACCAGTGCACGCAAACACCCATGCAGGCGCCCAAAGGCCGTCCAAAGAGGAACGGCAACAAAGTCTGCAGCGCTCTGCCTTCAAGGAAAGGAAGATGATTGCATGCAGGCCCATAAGACATATTTTTATCTGAAGGAGAAGGGTCCTGAGACGAAACAACTGCCCCAGCAGCAGCAGCTCTCTGCCTTGTAGTTGTTGACGCGCCCTTCTTCGAAACTTTTGATGGAGTGCACGCCCCTAAGGCTGAATTCGGCGACAGAGGGCAAAACATTTCATGTTCTTCCTCTTGCACAGCAGGGGCCCCAGCAGTGTGCGCCTCAGGGGCCTCTTCAGCACGTTTCTCGGCGGCCTCTTCGAGGGCCCCAGTTGCGTGAGGATCACCACTTCTCACTGCGCGCCTCTGGGTATTTTCCCGCCGAGTTCTTTCATGCTTTACTCTTGGCATTTCTTTCTCTTGTGTGACGAGAGCCGCATCTAATTGCTTCGGCCTGCTGACGTGACTAGGAAACGCATCCACAGCGTATACCTTCTGTGTTCTCTGCGCCACATCGCCGTCCTTGCTACTGCTTCTGCTTCTATTGCTGCTGCAGGTGTTGCTGCTGCTGATCTCTCGCTGGTGCTGCACCTGCTGCTGCGGGGTCTCTGGGGTCTCTGCTTTCCTCGAAACCGTCGGCGAGCAGTGCGCCATAGAGGGAAACGGCAGAGGCGACTGTGCCCTGACTTGCGGAGCTTTGGCCCTGGTGAATGACTGAGACAGGCCCCCCAAGGTGTCATCTAATGACGCTGCTTCGAACTCGTCGGGGGCCCAATCCGAGTCGGTGGTTTCAGCTACGCTGAGGGTTGGGGGGAGGACGGGCCCCGTAGATGCCGGCTCCTGTAGCACTGGACCACTGGACCTCGAGTTTTCTCGCACAACAGGCTTCTCATGCTGCTGCCTTTCTGAGGCCGTCACCTGCTGTTCGCCCCCGGGGCCCCCCCAGCAACCGGCACCAGAATCTGTTGGGTTCGTCTGACGGACCGCCGGGGGAGGGGGGAAGCGGGCCTCTATGGAGGCCCTCACCGCCAAATAGCCATCGAGAGGAACACAGGGATGCGACGGCTGGTTGCCCATTGACTCGGTTTGGAAGTTCAATGAAACAACGCCAGGCCGGAGCAAGTGGAGCGACAGCACAGAAGAATGCGGCTGGGATGCGCAGCTGTGGTCCCCAGACTTTGAAGAAGAAGCAAACACAGATAATTAAATACACAAAAAATCGAAGTATAGACAACGCGCATGCATCACCTCCTTTGAAACGTGTGTGCGCTCCAGTTAGTTGCACTCGTCGGTCTGCTGTTGCGTCTGCTGCTACCCGCAGAAAGCGCACATTGTTGAGAAAGTGCTGCTCGCCAGGACTTCTGTAGGCCTACTTGAAGTAAAGTAAAATACCTAAAAACAAAAGACACCACTGGAAAGAACACACGAAGCCCCAGAACCTCCTCTCCAATGTGGGCTTGCTTCGAGGGGCCCAGCGGGCCTGCTGCCGGGCCTGACCGACCGTTTTGCGTGCGATCTTACGTAGTCCAATGAAGGAGATTCTGTTAATTTTCTTCAATAAAAGTCTGTATTCATCAACGAAAAAACCCGGAGGCAACAGAAGTCTCAGCTTTTTTGCACAGTTGGTGGCAGCCCGCAGCCAACGGACCGCCTACGGCGGACCGCGTGCAGCAGCTGCAATTAGAAGGCGTTCGGCAGCTGCTGTTGCTTTTGTCGTCTGCTTTTTCTTTTCCTCTGTTTATCCTCAATAGACTTCTTTAGGCACTCGAGGAAACGCTGCACAGACAGGCGAGACGCTGGAGCTCTCGCCCCCATACGTGTTCTCGTTTGCAAACCGGCGCGGAGAGTGGCCGTTACAAGTTGATGCAATCTCTGCGGCCATTATTTCTAAATCTCAGCAACAGGAAATCACCCTCTATGAATCATAGAAGACAGTACATGTGTAGAAAGAACAGCGAAACACGCTTGCACGTCATGAAGTGCACGTGCATTTCGTGTTCATGTATGGAGGCTGTTTTTGTTCTACACGGAATGCATCTGCAGTTCCTACGCTCCACATCGTCATGCAGATGGTATGATAAATTTAAGCTTGGTGGATGTGTGAGCTGCTTCTCGCCTGAAGGGACGGCAGAGAAGTCCCTTGTTAGCTCTGCCAGCATCACTGAAGCTTTGTGAATCCCAACAAAGGATTAGGATATAGGGAAGTGAACGAACGAAACTGCTACTACGGTCCGCGAATTGCTAATCAGACCCCTCACCCCTCAGTTCCTTCACTGTAAAAAGAAAAACAGCTTTTTAGCTGAGCCGTGTGTTTTCTTGGGGGGAAACTCAAGGGCACAATGACACCCTAGGCTACGTAGTTTGGAGCGTGAAGAATGCATATCTGCATACTTATGTATATGCACAGGTGTAGCCTTCAAACGAGAGGCTAAATATACTGAGCTGCGCCCCCAATAGTGCGGGCCACAGCGACAGCAAAAGTGCCTTCTTGTTGGCTTCCTGACTGGCTGCCAGGGGAAGAAGGCAAGTCCTCAGCATCTATGCGTCTGGGTTTGAGTTGTTCGTTAACCTTTTCAGCGGAGCATCGTTCACATATACTGCTGTCTAAGCATTGTCTCTCCCGCGTACCTGCACAACGTCAGAAAAGATAATGCAGGGAGTTTATGTGTTGGAAGGGCCACGTTAAACTAAACAAAAAGGTGTTGTTTACGGCACACACACGAAGAAACGATGGTGCAGGCAGCAAGCGGCTTCAAAACATACCTCCCCAATGCCATGATAGTATAAACTGGGTTCATTCTGGTTAGTTGAGGGAGCACAGAAGCATCAACAATAGAAAGCCCGTTTACGCCCATGACTTGAAACTTGTCGTCTACCACTTTGCCCATCGGTGCACTGCCGTATGTATGGCCAATGCTTGTCATGTAAGACAATGCAAACTTCGCCAAAGCCTTCGGGTTTTGTGAGCCTGCATGCACAGCAAGCAGAGCGAGCTTTAGTCCAGACTGAGCAGATGCGGGCAAAGTGAAGCATTCACTGCTTTTTCTCTTTTCTTAAAACGGACTGCAGAATGCCGGCACAGCAAATTCCGCTCAACCAACTCATTGCCCTACTGTGCAGACAGTCAGCAGACCCCGCTGTTCAGTGTGCTAGTTGGTGGTGCATTTATTGCTGTTAGCAAACTGTGAAACAGACTGGGCAGTCTTGGGGGGTATGTAGCGGCCCATTGAAGGCTCGCAGGTGCTTCGCTGGCCACAGGGTTGAGGCCAAAGAATGGTGCAAGAAACTCCTCCTTCTTCACGGCACCACCGCTGTCTGCAGCATCTGCGTTTGAATAAGGATCCTGGATAGAGAAAACGAACAAGATAAACACAAGTCCATTTGGCATCAGAACCTGTCCAATTCAGAACAAGAATTGCAAAACATGATTGCAGTGAAGGACTACTGAAACAGCTGTAATCATGGCTTTAGCATTATGTAAGCCAACACAGCAAAATCTGCAGATGCACCCACCTTAATATGCTGATCTGCAAGAGTTGGCTGGCCGGGTAGGCGAATGCACTTGCTGTTTCCGTAGGTGGTGCAGCAAACATCAAGCTTTGCGCAGGTGTGGTTGTCGATGGCTTCCTGTGTGCACGGCTTCTTGCAGTCTTCGATGGCTTGTTTGAGCTCTGGCTCATTTGGGGAGGCCTTGAGCAGCTCCTCGGCCTTGATAGAATCTGCTGCCTTCTTCAGTTCATCCACCTTCTCTGAGCCTAATACCTTCTTCAGTTCTGCATCCAAACGCCGTGCCATTACCCCCAGGTGCAGAGAGGGGTCCTTTGCAGACTCGTCAGTGCCCGCCACGTGGGCACGATACGAATCAAAATCAAACCCAACCTGCACAGCATATAACAGACAAAGTACAGGACAAATAAGTGCGTCGGATGAACAGGGAGGCCGGTGGGCAACAGATACAAGAGAACTGAGACAAACAACGCTAAGTTCTAGGCTCGAGCCATGATGCTACAGATATGTACAATAAAATGCCTGCAAGGGGGTCTGCTGCTGACCGCCTCCAAGCGACGCTTAATGCCCAGCTTTTCCATCTTTTCTTCGTCTACGTTGTGTTCAACGAAAGGGCTGTAGTCTTCGTATTCGTTGCCTTCTTCGTCCTCGTAGACGGCAGGTTTCATGCGGTAAGCATCATTTACCACCATCAGACGCCGTAGGCGTCTGGATTCTGGGGGAATGAGATCCTGCAGGTACCTCTGAATCTCTGCAAAGTTCGAGGAGTGAGTCAAGAAGGGAGATGTTGTGCTGGCAAGAGTAAGAAGAATATCCAGCAGGCCATTCAATATTGCCAAAGGACAGGATTTGGGGCCCTTCTCTTGAATGATACCTCTGCGAAGACAACTCAGCCACAGCGTCTTCACTGTGCGACGTCGGTTGTTTCTGCTTTCGCCGCCACATGGGGACTTCGAAAAAGCTGATTTCGGTTGGTCTGGAGGGCGGCTCGTCTAGAGAGTCTGTTAGGGCACTGAAATACCTGTAACTGTCTCCATTTATTTGATCAACCAGTGTAGCAGTGCCTCGGATTGCATCAAACAAATCTTGTTCGTCCACAAGATACTGCGGGTCAACGACCACTTCTCCCGTCGGTTTCAGACGGATGCTTCCTCGTGACTTGGGTTCAGACGTAAAGTAGAAGGGAGCAACAGCCTTCCTGCAGAGCAAAATGTTCGTGCCAGGTTTGGAGGCTCACCCTAGGCCTCCAAACCTGACAAGCAACGCTGTGAATCTGCAACTATAGGAGCAAGATGCACCGTCACAACTTCGCAGCCGAGAAAATGCAATTGTTGAGAGGAGTTAATGCCCACCTGAGACACTTAATAACAGGCTGAGCGATCACGCAAAGAGGCTTCAAAAACACAAGGCCGAAGGGAGCACGGTAGTTCGAGCACCCCTGCAGAATCTCAGTTATAGCGTCTAGGATGGGATCCTTGCGGAAGGCAGTTGGGAACATGTAGCGGGATGCGTAGATAAACCCTTCGGCGAGCCGGTCTCCAGAAAGCTCCTCCATTGTTACAAGAGAGCACCCAAGGTTGCGCTCATTAATCCTGCAACACATGGCAGCACATCGCTGAAACAGTACGACACACGGAAAGGCCTCCCAATGCAGCGGAGAAAGCTGCGCATTCGGTGATAAGACTGCTGCGAAACCCTTCTACAGTGACACGCCAGACTCACTTCTGTCCTTTGCAGTGGGGACCGATGTGCCTGATGCCCATGAACTGGCAGACACGTGGCTGTAGAGCGGGTGCAAGATAGTGCAGCAGCCCGGGGAACATCAGGTTTTCAGGGAGGAGCACAGGGGGTTCGAACCCTGTTCTGAAGGTAGGATCATCTTCATCAATTGTTATGACTTCAACTGGCATCTCCTGGTTCAAGATCTTGTTAACCGCATCCCGGACTTCAGGAGTAATAGCTTTTTCCAGCTGTTCTTGAGACACAATCGGCTCGAAAGAAGGCTTGGAAATCAAGCGTAGCTTTGTCACCTTGTGGGGCCCCGCATCTTCTTCAGCAGTCAAGCGACGCAAGGACCTGCTGGGGTTAATGAGGGGAATGGCGTCTGTGTAGTGCTTCAAGAAGCCAGGGATAGTGAGAAAGACTCTGTCGGAAAACGCCGAACCTACCGCAGGGTTCTCCAGAATTTGATTCACCTTCAACAAGCTCAGCTGAATTGCTGGGCCGATGCCTGTAGGGAGTGCACGCAAGCATACCCTAGTTGAATGAAGCTCTCCCGTTTCTCCACACTTGGAAGCTGCTAGGTGGTAATATAAATTAAGTAAATAAGGCAATGAAACTAAAAGCTCTATGATGCTTCTTCAAGAAACATCGTCACCTGATCTGTAAAGCACAAGGGGAGTGTGCACGGCTCCCGTGCTGAGAATAATCCTTCCCCTGCCCGGATGTGAAAGGCAAACACGACGGAGATTCGTTTGGGGGTTTTCGACACCGGCGGCAATCAACACAGTGGTTGGCTCTAAGAAGGCACCAATCCACGGTGCCCAGTCTGCTCACAGCAACAGCAAGAACAAAACAGCAACAACAAGGGCTTTGAACAACAAGCGAATTACAAGCGAACAAGGCTAAAGGAAGCAGGTAAATTGAGTAGAAGCAATGCAAGCATACGCTGCTGACACAAAGTCTTTTGCGGGGGCTGGGCACACTCACCTGCGGCGGAAGAGGGGAAGAGACTCCACAAGTCACCAATCGGTCGAATGTCTTGGTACTTGGTAGGCCGATAGACGACGCAGTTGGCTGTCTTGCCGTGTGGTGTGTCAACAAAAGTGACTTTCTGCGTTGCAGACGTAGCGAGAAGCATAAGTAGCAACATGAGCAGAGCCCAACTGGAGTTATACTTGACGCTTTACTGCCACTCATGCATAAAAAGAAACGGGTATTGCAGCTGTTGATGGGCCGTTCAGAAGAAGCTGCTGACCCTGACGGTGTGTCGGGTTTTGATGAGGAGGTTGGGGGACGGCTCCAGGAGCGCGTCGGAGGCATTTCGTTGCAAGTTGTTTCCAGCATCGAAGAGTGAGTACCCTACCCACTGGTACCCCAGTCGGACAAACAAACTCGGTTCAGGATAAGAACCACCTCCCAAGTACTTGTATCCTGTCGCTGACAGCGCGTCGCTGTAAGCGTTTCCGAAGGGGGGCAGCGCAGGCATAGCTCTGGCGACTTTCCACGCAACGTAATCGTAAGCCTGAGCGAATGAAGAGAGAGCCACGGTGTCTGTGCATGTTTCAACTACTGTGAAAATGAAATATCCAAAGGCGTCTACAGCGATGGAACAGCACGACGCCTCCATTATCTATGAGCATCATGGGTACTGATGCTGAGGCGTACGTTCTTCAGCCTTGCATAGTCAATGTTATATCCAGGGAACTGGCGAGACATCTCCTTGAAAAATTCCTCTGTCTCACCAATCACTATACCCAAATTCACAGCACTGCCGCCCCCCATAACTGCACCCGAAAAGGTTCGAACCCCCTGCAGCGTGCCGACAGGTTGAGAGATGGTTCCATCGGCGAGGCCAATCCCTGAGAATGCAGAACGCAGCAGCACCGAAACAGCAGCAACATAAGCAGCTTAAAAACATAAGCAAGTGGTAGATTCTCCGACTGATCGCCCCGCAAAATGACAGAAATAAGTCCTCACCTGCCCCCCTAGCGCTCATGGCGTTTGGAGCTGTAAACTTTGTTCGTTGCATTCCGCGCTCCAGCAAAAGAACTTTCTTTCCACCTGAGTCAACCAACAACGACACAAAAGAAGTTCATATAATCGGGGAAACAGAAGCTTTACTTCGTGCGGATCTCAAGCAGGCAGCACAACACGCGTGCACAGGAGAGTTAAAAGGGAATACACTATTAAACAGTTTAACGCCGATTCATTAGCAAGCAATAAAAAAACAAACCTTGGGAGAGAATGTCCGCGGCGGCGCAGCCAGCGGCACCACCTCCAACTACAATGAAGTCGAATGTCTCATCATCAATCGGCAGGCTATCCACAAGTGAGTCGGGGATGTGTTCAGGGTCTTGTGAGAAGAATCCTCCTTTCATTTCTGAGGGGTCAAGACACCGCACAGAACGCGGGACAGCAGAACTAACAGCCGGCACCTCAACTCCTTATTCTGCGTTCTTGTTTTGTTCCTGTCGGGGGTCGCACTCACCCACAGGGTCTAGCGAGAAGTCCTTGCCAGTGATGAACTCCAGCGCCGTTCCAATAAAACGTTGGGGGGAGGGTGTTTCTTGAGTTTCCACTGAGGGTTCTGCACATATCATACATGCCTTGTTGCTTCTCGTGAATGTCTTACGATGCGGAACTATGGGTAGGCACAAAATAGGCAGCAACAAACAAACGACACTCTATCGGTACACTTACCTTGGGAGAGAGGGCTCACAGGAGTGTCAGCATTTGAATTAGCTACTGAAGTTGCTGTGGTTGCTGTCGCTGCTGCCGCTGCTGCAGCTGCTGCTGTGAGCAGCAGCGCCCGGGCTGCCCTCCCCGGCGCCATCTCTCGTCGTACAGCGAGTACGCAGTGCAGGCGAGAAAAGGAAGTGTTTCTGCACAATGATGTTGCACACACACTCATGCGTACATGGATGCATGCATTGTGAAAGAGTCTGCCTGCAAAACGAAGCCCCGATAGAATGCAGAAAGAGCATATGCCCGTTCAACCAAGTCCATTCAGCTGCGGCTGTTGCAATGTACTGTAGTGACACTATTAACATACGGACAGACAATTCATCTATCAACGTATCACACATAACTTTGAATGCGCAGGCAGACCCTTCAATTATCAGCATATCAGGTGAGGCCGGAGGCGCTGCTCCTACACCGGCACTCCAGGAACAGGAACTGCTTCAGCCCCGCTTTGCGGTTTTTAAAAGCAGTTTTTGTCCCGGCGCTAATAAACATTGATTGAAGAGAGTTGCTGAGAAAAGTGACTGAGGCGAGGGTTCAGGGTTTAACTCTAGGGATCGCTGGACAGGCGGTGTGCCCAGGCGGCGCTCACCTCGGTAGGAAGCTGAACAGTTAAATGGAGAACTTCTAGGCAAAAGGAGACGTTCTTAGGACTTTATATTCAAACTTGGTTGGGGAAAAGTGTGAAATTAGGGCTTTATTTTCCAAGAGGAGGCATTGATTTACACACTCAGCAGGAATTAACCCTGGCGTAGGAACCCTTGCCTGGTTCGGCGACGGGGTCACCTACCGAGACGCCTGAGCTCAGGCAGCTCAGGATAGGCACTGTCCTGCTCTGTTCAACCTTTTCAATTACGTTAAAAAGAACATATTCATTAAATTCCACTGAGTCGTTTCAAACGACCCGCGTTCCCTTCTCTCACCAGTGTTCATTCGTCTTGCTCGCTACGGCGAGCGCGGTCAAGGTTACCTAGCGCTCCACGTTACTATAGCTCAAGAGCTTCTTCCACAATGAATTATTCCACTATATATATACATTTAGAAAAATCAATATTGCTGTTGATTGTTCAGACGAATATTGAGCCTAGCAGGCCCTGCTGGCCACGCCCCCTGAGCGCCATTAGCTCCCCCCTTTAGCATTCAGTTCTATGGACTAAGTGCTACAAGAAGCTGCTCATACGCCAAAAAACACTAACGGTTTGCAGAGCAGACGTTCGGCGAAGTCGCCAATACACTGTCAACTTATTTTCATTGAGAACCAACAACCACCCCTCATAAATCACAGAAAACTCCATAGTTTGCGAACCCCTGCCCTAACATGTGAGGCGAGCGCTGCTGTTTCTCCTACCTCACTCATTATAAACTATCAACGCTGCTTATTTTCCTAAGGAATCTGAACAGTCCCAGCTACAGCATCTGCCTACAGGTCAATGACTGAGGCGACTGCTCCTCGTCCTCCTACCAAATGATCTGTGCTGCTTACTGTTCTGACACATCTGCAGCTAGATCTGGGGAATTCTAAACAGTCCTAGCTACGGCGTCTGTCTACAGTTTCTAAGCAGTGCAGTGCATGGAACAAACAAACTGTCACAACCTATTTCTAAACGCCCTATATTCGATGCAGAATAACCCTGCCAATCCGTTCTGTAATGGATATAATAATGAATTGAATAATAAACGTCTGAATTAGGCAGGGGAGGCGCGCAAAAAGCACTACTTTTTCAGTCAGCTCGAAAAAATCATAGAAGCTTCATTATTTTAGTGTGGGTCAGCACCGTCCATAAATAGCTTTCATGCACTTAAGCACTCACATAATGATGAAATATGTATTCAACTTTTTTTTCCTGTATTATGCAGAAATCAGAAAAACTTTATTTTCCTTTTCCACATAACACTGCACGTCGGTCAGCGTCATCCTTCATGCTAAACCAAGAACACCTGCTTCCACTGAGACGACGAATTCACAAAGACTCCAGAAACAATATAAAACCAAAAGCGTAGCCCGGCAGCCCCCTCAAAACCAACGCCGGCTACACTCAAGAAGGAATCGGTGCAGATTTGTGCACAGATTGAACCCCTTTGCTTGTCCACACAAAGACAAACTCCCCTCATTTATACCCACTCCTGCATTTGTGTTTGTGTATGGTTTTGCACTTCTTGCGCGGTTTTCCCTTGTACGCACATACCACTTTTTTTTCTTCGTATGTATGTGCGAACGTGCTCAGACATAAATACATATATATACATGCACATATACTTATGCGTATACATGCATACATACGTATATATTTACTTGTTCGTTCAAGTTCCCGTTTTTGCGTTCTTTCCGGGGATGACTTCAGGGCCTGTATATTTCAGAAACGGGAGGAAACAAAGCCCTCAAACAATTTCAATCCATACAACGCTTGCTTCCACGTTTCCCTCCCAGCATCGGCTTCATACAAAACAATTTGATCGACAGCATGATGGTGCGCAGACTCTGACGGCCAACTCAAGAGACGAAAGTGAGCTGAAAACAACAAAAAGAAAAGTACAAATCAGAAATAGATACATATTTATGTTTAAGCACATAGCTACGTACCCGTCTTGATGTGTTTATATTTTGCATAGACTGGCTTCAAACAACAAGAGTGGATCGGCTGGTTCTCAGTCAATCCCTTGCTGATAAATATTTAAAGATAACTTCACAGGTTCGCGTGCACCGCAAACAAGAACAAAGAAAAACAAAACGCCAACCAACTAGCCAAGCAAATAAAAAGGGTGAAGGGGCAGAAAGAGAGAAAACGCGCGAACACTAAACAGAAGCAAAACAAACGCACCAAACAAGCAATCATACGGACAAGCAAACAAGCAAGCAAAAACAAAACAAACGAAACAAACAAGCACACAAACTGACCCGGGTCTGTAGTTTGGACGAACAGTGAAAATCTGCGGTCTTTGCACAAATCTTCCTGTTCATGAGGCAGCGCGTGCCACGCAGCCACCCTCATAAGCACTTCCAGCATCTGCTCAGTGAGGAGAAACCTCAGAAGATTCATAAACAAACTCCCGTACCGTTCTTCCAGCATACCGCAAAGCCTTATATTTTCGTTCTCCTCTGCTGTGTACTTGTACGCCCCAAAGTAAGGCCGCTGACCTCCCTGCTGCAGCAGCTGGCGCAGCTTATGCCGTGTTGCTGCATCGCCCTCGTGAGCGGTGTTGACGCCAGGGAAGAGCACAGCAGAGGATGAAGTTTCTGAAGGCTCCTCCGCTTCATACGACGAAACGTCTCCCATCAGAGAAGCTGCACTCTTGTTGTGGGAGGCAGCGGTGCTCTGATCCTCCTTCTCATGCTTGGGAGGCGCGAACACGACAACGCCCTCTTGCCGCTGCTGGTGCTGCTGCTGCTGGTGCTGCTGCAGCTGGAGCGTATCTTGCCGCTCTGGCATGCGGCCCTGCTCCTCAATAGAGCTGGCGCGGCGGGGGAATTGTTGTTGCTGCGTCCGCAGCCCCGGTCCTCGTCTTAAATTCTCCCCTGCGGGCTCTGCTGCCGCACCGTGCGTTGCCTTGCTGCCTCCCCTGTGTTGCAGCGGCTGCTCCTCCGCTGGCAACGCACCAGCTTCTGTAGAAACAGATGGCGTGAAAGGACCTGCTGGCACTCTCTGTCCACTCACAGCTGTCCTGCCCAGCTGTAAGCTGCTGAGTAAGTCCGCAGCATCTGCTGCACCTTCCTCTCCCCCCGCCTCTGCAGCGTCATCGAGCTGCTGCCCCTCCTGTTGCTGCTGCTGTTGCAGCTGCTGCAGTTGTTGCAGCTGCTGCAGCTGCTGCTGCTGTTGCTGCTGCTGTTGCAGCTGCTGCTGCTGTTGCAGCAGCTGCTGCTGCTGATACTGCTGCTGCTGTTGCAGCTGCTGCTGCTGTTGCAGCAGCAGCTGCTGTTGCTGCTGCTGCTGTTGCAGCGGCTGCTGCTGCTGCTGATACTGCTGCTGCTGTTGCAATTGCTCCTGCGGCTGCTGCTGCTGCTCCGGATGCTCCTCCTGCGCCTGCAGAAAGAGCGACGAGGCCTGTGGGACTGTGACTTCCATCGACGGTCTAGGGAGATCTCTTACCTCATCAGGGTCTCTGGTGCGAGAAGCAGAGGGTGAAGGGCTGCCGTCTGCCCTGCTAAATCCCTCATCTGCCACTGCAGAGCCTTCATCTCGGTTTCCCCCTTCCTCGATTTCAGGTTCACCTCCTTCGCTGTGGCTGCTCATGACGTCTTCGAATGGGCGTGCCACTGGCCAGCTGCCTCCATACAGGCTAAGTTCGTCTTCCCCTGAATCATCTGCATTAGACAGCCGCCGCCGCCGCAGCCCCATGGTTTCTTCAAACTCTGCTAGCGAGTGCGCTGCGCGTTCAGCATCGTCTCCTTCGCCCTCTTCTTCTCCGCCGCCCAGCAGTTGATAAAGTGCCAGCCCGACCCGCAGGCTGTACGCCTCCAGTTCTTCCTTCGCTGCTGAATGAGGGAAATAAGTTTGAGGGAACGTCTGACAAAACATATCAGCGAAGCTCAGCAAAGGATCCTCCACTGGCAAGTTGAGCGACTCAGCTGCTGCTCTGCAGATCTCCTGCTTTTCAGCCGCGTCCTCGTTCGATCGCAGCAGCAACTCTAATAGAGACCGTACACTCCGAGTTATCGGCCAGCTGGGGCCCATGCGCCGCAGCCACTGGTGAAGGCGCCCGACATCTTCTCGAAGCGCAGCCACATAGCCGCCGAAAGCATCTTGGTGCAGCGGACCCAGAGATCGCACGTCGACGATGGTCTGCATGCACAAATGCATGCATGCAGGCATCCATTCACGAAAGCATCCATGCATGCAGGTGCATACATGCATCCATACAGCACACAGGCTTTCAGATCACGCAATAACAGCGACGACATCACCGACAAAACCCAGCAAGAGTCCTACACGCATGCACAGATAAACCAACAAACAGGAAAGCTGAGCCAGAGAGCCCTATCCAGCAACAAGAAGAAAGCAAACAAGAGCTGTAACGAACTCGCACAACACATGCACCGAAACAGAAAATTAAACAGGCAAATGCAATTACCTGGCGAAGGAGCCTTGTCAGGCCGGGGCTCTTCACATGGCCTAAAACATACGCTGACCAAGAGGCGCCGACTGAAGTACTGCAACAGACACACAAAATGCAACACAACACCCAAAGGCCAATCCTAAGGCACTCCGTGATCAACTAGAAACATTTACACATAAAAGAACAGCAACACATCATGAGTTAAGGTGTTCTCATCAACATAGCATACCTATACATAAACGCAGGTGCTAGTGAACACCCACCAATACGACGCATTTATACGTAAGCACATCACAGGAATACAACTATATGCTAATACATGATATATATATATATATAT